CCGCAGCCCTGCCCAGGGACGAGAGACAGCCCCCTCACTCAGCGGACACCAGCACATTGTCCAGGCCACACCCACGGCTTGTCTGGGGGGTCATGCCAGGCCACTCAGCTCACAGAGAGCTGCTTCACGCTGTCGCCAGCACCGTGAGAAAGTCCCGAGAGCAGGGCTTCACTGGCCGCCTGCAGCTCCCCAGGCCTGCCCGGGGACAGTGTCCACTGCGCTCCTGCCTTTCCTGCCGCTCCGGCTGGCTGAACTCCCGGCGCTGCTGTGCTCCGTGCAGGCCAGAGGCCCCGGGCTGGGCTACACTCCCCCACGCTCCTGAAAGGTCACCTCTGTCTCTGTTTCCCCACACGCTGGCCGAGCTACCGGGACAGAGCAGTTTCGGGTGGGCAGCCTTTCCTGCCCTCCACTGGGCCCACCTCTGCTGTACTCGCTGTGGGCAGCCGGTGGCCAGTGAAGGGGGCTCCTCCCAGGGCCCCGGCCGGGGAGATTCTTATATTTGGGCCACAGCCAGCGATGTTCAGGGGTGACTCCTGGCTCTGTGCTCAGGGATCCGTCCTGGCACCTTGGGGACCCTATGGGATGCCGGGGACTGGACCTGGGTTGGCTGCGTGCAAGGCAAATGCCCTCCCCATGTGGGAGGTGAGTGTGGGACCCCATGCAGGTGACGGGGGACCCCCGCAGAGATGCCTCTGCTCCTGGGCTGTTGGGGGCGGCCATGGGACAAGCCCCCAGAGGCTCCAGCCCCCTCGATGGCCGAGTCCCAGGGCTATGCTCCGTGGGACCTGAGGTGGGGGCGTCTCTTCCCCATGACACACAGGGGAAGGCCGGGCTCTTCCCTGCCCGTCCGTGGCTACCGGCTCCTCCTCAGGCGGCATTCTGAGGGCATGTGCCAGCACGTGTGGGCTGTAGACTCACGCATGCGTGTGCTTTTGGGCACCCATGCATATGTGCGTGCACACGGTACACGTATGTGGAGGTGCCCACTGTGTGTGTGCGCACATGTGTGCGGATCACGAGCCTGTGCGTGTTCACACACGTGTGGCGTGCATTTGTGCTTGAGTGGAATGTCTTCACGTGCCCATGTATGCTGGTGCGTTCATCTGTGCACGTTTATGCATGTATGCCAGTGTGCACATATATGTGTGCATGCGTATGTCTCTGCATGCACAGGCTGTGTGAGCACATGTCCACACATACACACGTGTGGACACGTCTATGTGCCTATGTGCGTGTGAGCACTTGTATGTGTGCGCGTGTGTTTCGAGGTGGGTGCAGAAGCTCTGGCAGCATCAAAACCACAGCAGTGGGGCTGGAGCGATAGCACAGCGGGGAGGGCATTTGCCTTGGCGCGGCCAACCCGGGTTCGATCTGCAGCATCCCATATGGTACCCTGAGCACCACCAGGAGCAGTTCCTGAGTGCATGAGCCAGGAGTAACCTCTGAGCATCACCGGGTGTGACCCAAAAATCCTGTTGTTCATCGATTTGCTCGAGTGAGTACCAGTAACGTCTCCATTGTGAGACTCATTACTGTGTTTGGCATATCAAATATGTCATGGGGAGCTTGCCAGGCTCTGCCGTGCGGGCGAGATACTCTCGGTAGCTGTCGGGCTCTCTGAGAGGGGCCGAGGAATCGAACTCAGGTCGGCCACGTTGGCTGCGTGCAAGGCAAACACCTTACCCATTGTGCTATTGCTCCAGCCCACCCAAAACATAAAAAAAAAAAACCCAAAAAACCCAAGACAGCAGTGAGGAGAAACGAAGCCCCCCACACTGTCTCCGGCCCCCCGCTCCTGGGCCCCAGGGACAGTCACACCCGCAGCTGTCTGCAGAGGCCAGACCCCGACGGACGCTGCCACCCACTCTTCCCCTGCGAGGAGCAGACCAAAACAAGTTCTAAGGCGGCGGATTGGCCATATTTAGGATGTTCTGTGGGAGCAACGACAAACATCTGGCACGATGCTCAGGAATCCGGACTATTTCTTCTGGCCCGCGGCAGCCGCGGCTCCCGGGGGCAGTGGCCAAGTCTCCTGGCTCCACGCCCCTTGCAGATCAGGGCTGAGGCTTTTGGAGTTCTTTCAGGAAAGAGAAGTCGGGGCCGGGGTCCGGGAGAGCGGGGGCGGGGGGGGCATCTGTCCGCATGCAGCCAGCCCAGGTCCAAGCCCCGGCACCCCAAAGGGCCCCCCAGCCCCCCCAGGAGTAAACTCTGACCGCGCCCGGAACCACCAAGGCCCTACCCCCAGCGGGGGAAGACGCACTCGGGAAGGCGTCCCGGGAGTCCGGGCAGAGGTGGGACCCGGGAGGGCACTGGGCGGGTTCCCGGAGTCAGCGCGGAAGCAGGGCAGACGCATCTTAACTTCTTCCTCAGTGAAAGGCCCCCTGGGAGCGGCCAGGGGCTCTGCACGGTCCCACACCGCGCTGGCATCCGGACCAGCCGCGGGAGAGGCTTTTCCAGGCATGGCAGCCCTGGAGGACGGGACGGGGAGGCTCCCTGCAGAGCCAGATGCACGGCACCCCCCCACCCCTGCCCCTGCCCTCCAGCATGAGCTGGTGCAGTGGGGAGGGGAGAGAGGGATGGGGAGGGAGGGGAGGGAGAAGGGGAGACGTAAGCACGCGGAACCCTGTCAAGCACACGGGACGCCGGAACCCTGGCCCAGTGCCCCAGCGCTGTGCTCCCACCCAGCAAGCGTGCCACGGGCCGACAGGCTCTGCATGCAGGAGCCCGGCTGGACCCCCGGCTCCACGCGGCCCTTGGGGCACAGCTGGGTGTGGCCCCAAAGATAAAACTAAGCCAGCCAACCAACCAGGGGAAGAAAGCGGATACTCAGCCCGCCTAACCTCTGGCTTTGTCTAGCTTGGGCCACCCCTGGCGCCATGGCTCAGCCCCCACGGAGCTAATTTCCCGCACGAGACACCAGGCCCCTGTCCTGAGACCGCCCGGTGAGTCCCTCTGCTCTGCACCCCACGCCAGCCCCGGCCAAAGGGGAGTCAGGGGGGAGGCCAGAGTTTGAGGACCTGAGCCAAGGCCAGCAGGGGCAGCGGCGTTCAGGGGCAGGGAGGCTGCGAGCGTCCAGGCCGTCAAGGACCTTGGCGTCAGCCACCCCCACACCTGCTTCCGGCGGGAGAACCCCGCAGTGCTGCCCGGGAGACGCAGACCTTCAGCCAGAGGATGCGGGGACAGGAAAGGCCCAGGGAGAAGGAAGTGCCCTCAGACACCGGACTCAGGTGTTGTTTCCCGTGTCCCGCAGGGCTGACAGGCCCACCCAGTGCTGGTGGCCCTGCCTGCAGGCCGGGGAGTGTCCTGGCAGTGGGGGCCCAGTTCAGGGCTCAGGCTGTGCCACTGGCACCACCCTGCATCTCCATGCGTGCGGGACCATCCCTGCCCCGTCCAGCCAGGCGGCCCCTCTCTCCTCCGTGCTCTCTGGCACTCGGGCCTCACCTCTCCGTGGAGAATCATCCCTTCTGACAGAAACCCCGAACACAAATAAACCCACCGTGCAAGTTCAAGGTGACCCTTGTCTTTACTGCTGTGACATTAGAGAGCAAGAGGAGCTTCTGAAGATGCTTTAGGACGTGTTTCTCACTGAAGAGGAAAATGACTTATTTAAAAAATTCGTTTAGGCGGGGTACTGGCTTGGGAGACATCCACAACTGCTGCCCCCGTTAAATCATCAGATGCCACATTAGTGGGCTATTTTATTCATCTATTTATTGCTTTTTGGGTCACACCCAGCGATGCACAGAGGCTACTCCTGGCTCTGCACTCAGAAATCACCCCTGGCGGTGCTCAGGGGACCCTATGGGTTTCTGGGAATTGAACCCGGGTTGGCCGCGTGCAAGGCAAACGCCCTACCCGCTGTGCTATTGCTCCAGCCCCAAGTGGGGTATTTTAAATGCAACATTTATAGACAGGGACTTAAGCACCAATCAATAACAAGGGCAAAACTGTGAATTTCGGGCTGGAGTGATAGTACAGAGGGTAGGGCCTTTGCCTTGCACATGGCCGACCCGGGTTCGATTCCCAGCATCTCATACGGTCCCCTGAGTACCGCCAGGAGTAACTGCCGAGTGCAGAGCTAGGAGTGACCCCTGAGCATCGCTGGGTGTAACCCAAAAAGAAAAAAAAAAGTACATTTAACCTCTTCTTATTGATCTGAGTTAAATGCAATCTGTTCTGTCAAAGTTCTGTTTATCTTGTAAAAAGGCTGAAACTTTCCTTATTCCCACCTTATAATGTGCTACATCGTAATGAATGGTGGTCCTACTTCTAAAATGGATTCAAACGCTATTTAGAAAACAAGAAAAAAAATAGTTTCTAGTGTACCACGTTTTAAAATTGTTATTTAAATATATAAATATACGTGTTATATTCGACTGTTTTTTTGTCTGTATCAGGGAGTTTTCAAGCTCAGCATCGTAATCTTGCTGAACTCAAAAACCAAGTCGCTCCCCATTTCCTTCCCTGGTCTTTGCTGCTGCCATTCCTGCCTCGCACACTGAGGCTTCTCCAAGCACCCTCAGGTGTCCCTGAGCACACTCTGAGGTCTCTCCGAACACTCTGGCTATGAGCCCAGGACCCAGAAGGCACAGGCAATGCTGCCGGATGTTGCCTGGGGGCCTCAGTCCTGAGGGCAGACGCTCACTACCGAGGCAGCCCCAGCCTGGGAACCTGACTCTGTGCTGACTTGTGCCGGCTGCTGGTGGGACAGCCATTCCCCCAGGAACCAAGCAGGAGCCCGTGGCCCCCGCCACCCGCTGGCCAGGCTCTTGACACCACCTGGGGGCAGCCAGCTGATCCCTCTCAGACAGGGGATGGGAAAGCGCCCGACGGCCGGCCCCAGACGTGGGCTGGCCTCCTCCTTCAGGCTCGGCCTCTCTCTGACCAGCAAGTCCAAGCCGCACTCACGTCCTGCTGAGCAGACCAGGCCCAGAATGGAACGTGGAGCCAGCTTTGGCCTTAGATAGAGCAGGGAACAGCCCCAAAGCCCTCCCTCTCACCTCGATGTCGAATGTCTCCACGGTGTCGTCCAGCAGCTTCACGCACACAGGAAGGAGCTTCTCCCGCGTGCTGGCGGCCGTGGACACGCGGGGTGCGCCGAGACTCTGGCCCAGCTCCAGGGTGCTCACGACCCCGGGCATTGTCTGGGCCCCCAGACGCGTTCCCGGCGTCTGCAGGGCTCGGTAGGTGCCTTCGATCTCCCCCATCCTCAGGCGTGAGCAAGGACAGCCCTGAAGGAGAGGCACAGACATGAGAGGACGGTTCTCCAGCGGAAGCACCAACAACAGGAGCACACGGCAATTCTCTGCCTGATTTCTGCTTGCTGACTGGCTGGCCGGGGCGTTTGCCTTGTGCATGGCCGGCCCGGCCGAGCCGGGTTCGATTCCTCTGCCCCTCTCAGAGAGCCCGGCAAGCTACCGAGAGTATCTCGCCCGCACGGCAGAGCCTGGCAAGCTCCCCGTGACGTATTCGATATGCCAAGCACAGTAACAACAGGTCTCACAATGGAGACATTACTGGTGCCCGCTCGAGCAAATTGATGAACAACGGGAGAACAGTGTGACAGTGGCTGGCTGGCCGGGCCTCCTGCGGAGGCTTGGGGGACCCGATGCAGTGCCCGAGTCTGGGTGAGAGTCGGCTGTGTAAGGCAGTGCCTCAACCCCAGCACCATCTCTCTGGCCGTCTCTGCATCAGTCTTGCAACTTCTTTTGTTTTACGTTCCATCAGAGTTTAAAAGAGACCATTTTCTACTTGTAAGTGGATCAGGGGAACATAACTGGCATCACCCCTAGTAACTGTGACCTGTGGGTGCTTCTGCAGGTCAGGTGACGTACACCTCACTTCATCCCCAAAGCGCCACCAACGATCCTCACCCCTGCTTGGCCGGGAGGCAGCTGGACTCCAGCAGTGTCTGTGTCCAAGCCCCAAGGCCTCACGGCGCCCTGCCTCCAACCACAGGGGAGGAGCAGAGTAATCTCCAACACACTCCAGACTCACACAACACACAACACACACCACAGTGCCAACACAGAGCCACACAGGGCCACACCACACAGTGTCCAGCAGACGAAACCAACAATGTCCACACTGCACAGCAGACATGGCCCCCACACACACACCAGTGTCCACACTCAGTATCTACATCAGAGTCCACACACTGCAGTGTCCACATACACCCCACAGTTCCCACACCACAGTGTCCACACACATACCACCATGTTCACCACACAATGCCCACACCCGACAGAGTCCACACCACACAGTGCCACACCCCAACGGTGCCCACACCCCTACAGTACCCACACCAGTGTCTGTCCATACCCCAACAGTTCCTCCCACACAGAGCACCCACACATACATGTGCCTGTGCCCCTGGGACCACAATGGTGGGATCAAAAGCACCCAGCTGGGGTCTGCCCTCAACACCCTGCACCCCTCCTGATGAGCGAGACAAGCAGAGAAGCCTCCCTCCTCTCCACTAAAGATCGGCAGAAAGCGCCTCGTGAGAGATGACATCCCGTCACCCTGTGTGGTTGCAGAGACCCAGGCACCTCCCAATGCAGAGGCAGGTCCCGTGGGAGACGGTGGGCAGAGGGGCGTGTACCCCCACCCAGGGTGGGGAAGACTTACAAGGGCTGGGGGCGGGGTGGAGAGATAGCACGGGGGGGGGGGGGGACGCTTGCCTTGCATGTAGCCTATCCGGGTTTGATCTGGAAGGCAGCACCAGCAGACACCAGCTGCTGGAAGACATTTGGTCCCCGACCCCTACCAGGAGGGGTTCCTGAGCACAGAGCCAGGCAGAGCACCTCCAGGTGTGGCCCAAAAAACAAAAAAAAAAAAAGAAAGAGGGACTGGGGAAGGGGACAGGGAACCCTGGGCTGTGGCCCTGAGAACACCAGATCTCAGAGTCCATCAACAGCACAGCCAGTTCTTCAAGAGAAGGTGACAGCCACACCATGGTTCTTCAGCACTGCAATACACACCAGCTGGAGCTCATGACACGACCAGTATCCTGAGCTGATGTCACAACACTGTTCTGAGTTTCCAAAGAGTGTCCTGAGTTCTCACAGTGCCCTAAGTTCTCTCACAGTGCCCTGAATTCTCACACAGTATTCTGAGTTCTCTCACAGTGTCCTGAGTTCTCTCATAGTGCCCGGAGTTCTCACACAGTATCCTGAGTTCTCACACAGTATCCTGAGTTCTCACACAGTGCCCTGAGTTCTTTCACAGTGCCCGGAGTTCTTACACAGTATCCTGAGTTCTCACACGTGCCCTGAGTTCTCTCACAGTGTCCTGAGTTCTCACAGTGCCCGGAGTTCTCACACAGTATCCTGAGTTCTCACACAGTATCCTGAGTTCTCACACAGTATCCTGAGTTCTCTCACAGTATCCTGAGTTCTCACACAGTGACCTGAGTTCTCTCACAGTGCCCGGAGTTCTCACACAGTGTCCTGAGTTCTCACAGTGCCCTGAGTTCTCACACAGTATCCTGAGCTCCCACACAGTGCCCTGAGTTCTCTCACAGTGTCCTGAGTTCTCACAGTGCCCTGAGTTCTCACACAGTATCCTGAGTTCTCACGCAGTATCCTGAGTTCTCACACAGTGTCCTGACTTCTCACACAGTGTCCTGAGTTCTCACAAAGTATCTTGAGTTCTCTCACAGTGTCCTGAGTTCTCACAATGCCCTGAGTTCTCACACAGTGTCCTGAGTTCTCACACACTGCCCAGAGTTCTCACAGTGCCTGAAGTTCTCTCACAGTGCCCTGAGTTCTCTCACAGTGTCCTGACTTCTCACACAGTGTCCTGAGTTCTCACAAAGTGTCCTGAGTTCTCTCACAGTGCCCTGAGTTCTCTCACAGTGTCCTGAATTCTCACACAGTGTCCTGAGTTCTCACACAGTGCCCAGAGTTCTCACACAGTGCCCTGAGTTCTCTCACAGTGTCCTGAGTTCTCACACAGTGCCTGGAGTTCTCACACAGTGCCCTGAGTTCTCACATAGTTTCCTGAGTTCTCACACAGTGCCCAGAGTTCTCACAGTGCCCGAAGTTCTCTCACAGTGTCCTGAGTTCTCACACAGTTTCAGAGAATGTCAGTGTCCTGAGCTCATTTTACTCAGTGACTTGCTTGCCTTGTGCTCACAGGTACTTTTCAGAGGTAAGACTATGCCACCTTGATCAGAAGGACCAAGGCCACCACACCCGGTCACATAGGAGAGCCACGGCGTGGACAGGCCGAATCCATTCTCCACCTTTATGTCTAAGAACATTTCTGGCATCTGGGTGCATTTCCCACCTGTCTACAGTACAACCCGCGTCGACCTGCCTCCTTTACAAACTGAAGCCAGTGCCCGAGAAACCTGTCGTCCCATTTCCAAGAGCGAGAAACACACCTCCAAAGTCTGCCATGGCAGGGCTGGGGGTGGGGGCGGGGCTTGTGAGCACAGACGGTCCAATCCCTGCCCCCCAGATGTGGCCCCCACACAGGGAGCGTGGCGTGGCTGAGGTGGCACTGTGTCCAGGAGCGGTACGGGCACCACGGGGCCTGGCGGGGCCGCGAGCAGCGCTGCTGTCTCCCGCTCACTTGCTGGAGTGCTCCCAGGAGCTCCGGGTCCTCGGCGCCGCTGGAGGACAGGAACCTGCCCCATGTGCCATCAGTCTCTGAGCTGCACTTGGTGGTGCTGGCGGCAGAGCCTGGGATCGAACCCGGGCCCGGGGCACGCGGAGCCTGCACAGAGCCCGTCGGCTGCCTCTGCTCCTGAGCCTGCTGTTCAACAGCCACCAGAGTGGGGGCGCGAGAAGGGCTCGGGCACCGGCTGAGCCCCGCAATCCTGGCGCCGCGCGGCCTCTGAATCACTGGGAACGACCCAGAACTCCGCAGAGACAACCAGGAGATGGCTCTGTGCCTCTCAGAGAGCGAGGAAGCAGGGCACCAAGGCGGAGCACTGCGGCGCTGGGCCAGGAGCTGAGGAACGCGGCTCTGGGGCTGGAAACCCCAGCACGTCCTCCGACCAAGCTCCTTGTACACGTCTCACGCCCGGCAAGGTGCTCTAGAACACCCGGCCCTGAAATCCACACGAAACGGGTCAGGGAGCAGCTGAACAACGCCAAGCGACTTTAGCACTCGACTTCAGGCCAGGGAGAAAAGGGCTGAGCACAGCGGGCCGACAGAGGCCCGGGTCGAGCCCCAGTACCACACAGTGCCCGGACGCGGCCAGGCGTTCCCCCCAGGCACAGAGCGGGTGGCAGCCCCCAGCACTTCTTGCTCTGGCCCCCGAATCAAAAACTCCATTTTATCACCGGCAAGATAACAGTCGAGGATGAAAGAAATCATAAACGGATCTAGACCGTGGCACGTTCTAGAGGACAACCCGCCGCATTTCCTTGGCAAGGGACTCAGAAACACGGAGGGCACAGAAACTGCTCGGGAAGTGACGTGCTGAGCACCGAGTGACCCTCACTCACGGTTCAGAGGAATTGGACAGCTGCACAGATGCGGTCAGCGAGCATGGCAGGACTAAGCCCCTGGTCCTCACGCTGCTGTGTCCCATTAAAATGTCCCCAACCCCCGGGTTCGATTCCCAGCATCCCATGTGGTCCCCTGAGCACTGCCAGGAGTAATTCCTAAGTGCAAAGCCAGGAGCAACCCCTGTCCATTGCCGGCTGTGACCCAAAAAGCAAAAATAAATAAATAGATAAATAAATAAAAAAAATGTCCCCAACACCCAGAGACACAAACAAAAGTATTCCTGGGTGGCATGAACGATGACTGCAGTGTCAGGCGTCAGGATGAAGCCCCCAGCACAGCACAGGTCCTGCAGGTGTGAGGCCCTGGGCTGGACTCCTGGAACCAATAGTTTTTAAAAATCTGTTTTGGAGCCAGCCCAGTGCTGCTCAGGGCTTACTCCTGGCTCTGTGCTCAGGGATCCCTCCTGGTGGGGCTCAAGGAACAATATGGGGTGCCGGAGATTGAGCCAGGTCGGCCACACGCGAGGCAAACACCTCACGTCTCTCCCTTTCTGGTCCCTGCACCAATAATTCTTTTAAAGCCCAGTGAGGGGCTGGGGGATGGAAGAGTGATGAAACCCGGGTTCGACTTCTCCAGCACTGCTGGGCTGGTGGTCCCTGGTGCCACAGCCGGGGGCACATCACTGAACTGCTGGTGGTCCCCAGGCCCACCCCGTTCCTCCTCAGCAGGTGGCCGCCCTGGGGCACATCCCGAAAGACCGC